TTCTTATCATGTTCCCATATATCCTTAGCCGTATCAAGAAACATGAAGTTGGCACTAATTTTGGGTTCCATTCTGTTCCATAGCCAAGTCATGATTTGAGCATCTTCTTGTTCCCAATCGTCAAACCCTGGGGAGTCAGCCAGTGGTTTCTCATCTTTTATGTGCTTCACTTTTCTCTTTGCCTTGAGGAAAACTTCCACTGATTTAGCCCATGGAACATAGTTMTCCCCATTCAGTTTAATTGAGGTCATCTCTAGCAATGCGGATACCAATCCCAATCTGCCCTCTATAAGCCCAACAAATATTACTAGTCCTATCTTTGAAAGCTCCTCCAATTCTTGCTAAACTTGGCTTTCTTAAAGCATTTCCCTCAAAGTTTAAAGTCCTCACCCTCCCCTCTTGTCCCAAGACCTCAGGGAGTAGAAAGTAGAGAAGAAGAAGTTTGTTATGTTTATATACAGATTGCTAATAGAAACACCTTTATACAGCTTAGAACTGGTGATACACAAATTATCGTTTTGAGTGATGTGAGAGATATTCCCGAGTTCTTGTCTTGTTGTCAAAGATCTGATGGTTCCTTCTTCCCAAACACTCCACGTCACTGCATGAACAATTATTTTCCATTAAACCTTGCTTCTGCTACTGAGGCCTCTACCTTGCCACTGCCAAATGAAATCCAAAATATGCTTCAGGGCAACCCAGTTGTAGCCTATGAGGTTGAGGAAATGACACCTAATTTTTCTGGTTTCCTGGTATCGGAGAAGTAGATGATCAGCAGATTCACCACATGAAGGCATAAAGTGCTGTTATGAGGGGAGAGACATAATCTGCCAGTATTCTTCTTATGGAGGAGGTTGCAAGTGTTTGTTCTCTTCAGACAAGCTTCCCAAAGAAAAATACACTTTGGGAGGGTTGTGATTAACTACTCACCTGTGATCAAAGCCTTGAAAACAGAATTGGAAGAGAACTTGCTGGCAGGGTGGAGTTTCTGAAGGCCAAGTTTGTGGGAACAGGGGAAATGTAGACTTCCCTAAGATCCTAAGATAAGTGGTGGCCAAGGTAGAGTCACCCCGCCAAAGGTCAATCCAAAGCAGTGTTTTAAAAGGCGTGGGAGCAGTGATTTAAAAGGCGCACCTAGGCACACAGGCGAGGCGCATTTTGGGGTATGTGCCTCGCCCAGGTCCTAGACGCACCCCTTTCAAAAGGCATACGCTTGGTGCGCCTAGGCGTGCGCCTAGCGCCTCAGCCCAGGCGTGTGCCTTTTTAAAATTTTGCGCTTTTTGCCTTTTTTTTGATTCTAACGGTTGGGCCAGGGGCTTCACCCTTGGACCCCTGACCACGCCCCTAGAGGCAAGCCCAAACAAGTCTATGTTAGGGTTTGAAATTCTTATTTTTCACATGAAAAATAATTATTTTATAACTTTAATTGCCTTTTAAGAAGACATTTTATTGGAATGAATGAATGAACAACATTAGCAAATAGGGGATGGTACAAAGGCGACTTGTTTACATCAAGGGGCGTGGTACAAAGGTGACTCATAGAATCAAGAATGCAATATGTTTTACATCACATTAGCTACTTGAAGCAATGCAATTAAGGAAAACAAAGATTGTGGGTTTTACATGCTTGAAAATGTTTTATATTGTTTGCTTTTATTTTTAAATTTTCATTTGAATACGCTTTACATGTTATGTTTATGTATTTTAATTTTAGATAATTGATTTTTTAAAACATTTATTTTAAAATTTATGTTTATATTTTTATTAACATTATGTTTAATATTTTTTGAATTTTTGGCATTTTTTAAATTTTTTTTGAATTTTCTGACTTTATTTTTTATTTTTTAGCTTTCTTTTTGTAGTTTTGCACCTTTCTTAAAAAGGTGCAAATTGGTCCTTGTGCCTTTTTTGTGCCTTGCGGTTTTAAAACAAGACCCCCCCCCCTTTTAACTAGTGATATGCATCTTCATTTTTCTTAATAATAAAAGATTTTTATTAAAAATAAAGAAAAAAATGAAATCCTCCTTCCTCTTCTCCCTTCTCCTTCCTCCTCATCCCCCTCCTCTTAAGTAGGCTTATGCCTCATGTTCTGAACTATGCCTCATGCCTCGCGTCACGCCTCCACGTTTTAAAACATTGATCCAAAGTTTTACCCTATTTTCATTTCCCACTTTGTATCTAATGAAAGGAATAAAACTATAATATGTGGAGACAATACCTTTCCAAGGATTGTTTGGCTGCACTCAGTTCAATTGGAGATTGCCATCCCAACCATTTGCATTCAACCCATACTTGCTAGTGAATGTTACTTTCTTTTACATTCCCAATGCCCAACCCTCCAGCCTCCTTAGGTTTACACAATTGCTCCCAACTCAAAAAATGGTTTCTTTTTCCACCTCCACCATCCCATAAGAAGTCCCTTTGAAGCTCCTCAATCTTGTTTTTAATTTTTATTGGAATTTGAAACACTAAGAGATGATAAAAATGAGGTTAGCAAGGGAGGCCTTTGTTGGATAAAAAGATGGAATTGGAGTTATAGTAATTTGAAGAGAAAATTCAGATGGCCGATTTGAGTAATGGAAGTTAAAATTAGTTGGGAAAAAGATCAGCTAATTCTTTTGCTTATGGGCTAGCTAAACAAGGGGTGGACAGGGATGTCGTATTCTGGGAAAGATGTAATTTAACTTTCTTCTTTTTCTGTTCTCTCTTTCTCTCTTGTTTTCTCTCTTGGGGCTCTTGATGTAGCTGGAAGATAAGAAAGTTTGTCTTCCTATCTGTAATTTATTGTGATAGTTAATGAATTGTGTTATTGATAAAAAAAAAAGTGAGCTTGCCCCACTTTGAGTGATAGTTCTTTGTCTACATAGCTAATTTCTACATGAAGAGTTGGCTCCTAGAAACCTTGACATCTAGGATTCCCACTTAGAGGCATCCCCGACAAAGATACAGGAAGACTCTCCTCTTTACATCCCAACATGATTTTGAACCTCTCCAATAGATTTCTATCATTCAAATTTATTTTCACAAGTGCTGCTTTTGGAGAAGTTTACATGGAGTCATGTCACCAATTCAAAGCATTGAACTACTTGTTCAAATTAGCAATATTCTCCAAGGAAGCCTCCATAAACAAAATGATATCATTAGCTATTTGAAGTAATGCGATTGGGAAAGAAATTAAGAGATTGAAAGTTTGGCATGCTTGAATTGTCGACTTGTTGAATGTGTTTTATATGTTTATGTATTTTAATTTGTGCTAATAGGCTTTTTAAATCATCTAGTTTAAAATTAAAGTTTGCATTTTTAATTAATACTGTTTTTAATATTTTTTTATTTATTTTGTATTTTTTTGCATTTTTTTTTAATTTTGTACCTTGCTTCAAAAATGTGCGTGCCTCACCTTGCGCCTTGTGCCTTGGGTGCGAAAAGCACTTTGCGGTTTTTTTGCACCTTGTGTTTTTAAAACACTAGGGAAAGGAAAGACTAGACAGATGAATCCTTATGATTAGACTCCAATTCCAAATTTATATGACTACCATACCCTTGCTGCTCAAAAATACTAAAAAATGCATTAAAAAGGAAAAAAAATCATAAGCCTGTTTATTGAATGTCTGACCTCTCCTAATCTAGAGGTGCTCAAACTCAATTTTGACAGTTGCAGCCTTGGAAACCCAGGACCCTCAGGGGTGGGAGGAGTTGTTAGAGACCATGAGGGCAGTATCATACTAAGCTTTTCAGGTCTGGTGGGACAAGGAAATTCTTCTAGAGCTGAAATTTTGGCCTTGGTTAGGGTTTAAAGTTGTTAGTTATGCAGGAGTTAAGAAATGTGGAAGTTGAGGGTGACTGTCAAATGGTTTTAAGCTGGATGACAAGGCAAGACTAAATTCCTTGGAAGTTCGGACCTTTAGTCAGAATGGCTCAAGCTTAGGTGCTGATTTGAATGCCTCGTTCAAATGGGTGCCTAGGAATGCCAACATGTTGGCTGATTCTCTGGCTAAGGCTGGGGTTGGGAAATCTTGTTTAGATTGGGGATGCCACAACCGGCTGCTAATGTGTAATTTTTCGTGTGTAGCATTATAATTTTTCAGTTGTGGATGGCCTCTTGGGAGGCCCAGCATTGTAAGCTTTTTTGGCTGTATTTTTCATGTGCAGCCTGGTGTTCAATGAATATTTTGTTGCTTATAAAAAAAAAAAGAAGTTTGACCTCTCTAAATAGTCATATAACCTTATTCCCTACCCTAACATATTAACTCAATCTTAAACAGAAATTCATGATTAAAAATACACTTCTCAGTGGATGTCCATGTCCAATCATGTTCTTGTTTGTTGTGTAATTTGGTTCTTCTTACTACATTGGTAGCATTTCCTTTGACTTTCTGAGTTCTGGTTGGGGGATTTTTCTTCCTTTTTTGGCAGGTTATTGGAGATCCTTCTTTGGTTTCCAAACAGAGGTCTCTTATAATAGATGCAGCACGTGCCCTTGATAAATCAAAAATGATGCGGTTTGATGAAAAAAGTGGTAATTTTTATTGTACCGAACTTGGTCGCATTGCTAGTCACTTTTATATTCAGTACTCCAGTGTTGAGACGTACAATGAAATGCTGAAGCGCCACATGAATGACAGTGAGGTATTTGATAATGTTTTTTTTTTTTTTTGTATTTTGTTCTTTCTGTCAAGTTCAGTTTCTAATTAGGTTGGAAATATTTAAAGTGGTACCTGTTTGGATGTCAAGGCTTATTTTATGCATCTAGCTGAGGAGATTTCGGTTTTCCATTTATTTGCTACATATATTGTTTAATGTTCTGTTTCCTTCATTATTTTAACTTTTCCTCCTCTTTTTTTCTATATATTCTTTTTTTTTTTCTGGTGCAGCTGATTAATATGGTGGCTCATTCTTCTGAATTTGAAAATATTGCTGTAAGAGAAGAGGAACAAGCTGAGCTAGAAACCTTGGTTCGCAAATGCTGTCCTCTAGAAGTTAAGGGTGGTCCTTCTAATAAACATGGGAAAATTTCAATCCTCATTCAGGTCTTCGCATTATATCTCACTGATGTTTTAGTTTTTCTTACTCCCCCCTTTGGTGAGTAAAAGAAAGGATTATATTTGAGAGATAATTTGTTGTTTTTTTTGTAATTTGCAGGTGTACATATCACGTGGATCAATAGATAGCTTTTCTTTAATTTCTGATGCAGCATATATAAGTGCAAGCTTGGCACGTATTATGCGGGCTTTGTTTGAAATTTGTCTTCGCAGAGGGTGGTGTGAGATGTCTTCTTTCTTGTTGGAATATTGCAAAGCTGTGGATCGCCAAATTTGGCCACATCAACATCCTCTCAGACAGTTTGACAAGGACATTTCAGCTGATGTCTGTCTAACACCCCTATTCATAATTTTATGTCATCTTGATTTTCATAGTTTGTTTTGTTTACTGATCCCATCTTTGTAGGGAATTCTATTTATTAATTGTTTATTTTTTCCAGATACTAAGGAAGCTTGAAGAACGGGGAGCTGATTTAGACCGGCTCCAGGAGATGGAGGAAAAGGACATTGGAGCACTTATTCGGTATGCACCTGGGGGAAAGGTAACACTCTATACCATGGAGCTCTCAGAGTTTTCTTTACTTATTATGCTTAATTTAGGGCATAACTCTCACTTGCTTTTAACTACTTTTGTCTTGCAAGTTGGTTAAACAATACTTAGGGTACTTCCCGTACATTCACTTATCTGCGAATGTAAGTCCAATCACTAGAACTGTTCTAAAGGTAAGTCTATTTATGAAGATAATTATTTGATAACACTTGGTGTGTTGTTTTGTTAATGATTTGATGCCCGACATGAAATTCTTGTATGCCGATACCTAATTAATTCTTTCAGGTTGATTTGCTCATAACACCTGACTTCATTTGGAAGGATCGGTTTCATGGTGCTGCTGAGCGTTGGTTGCTTCTTGTTGAGGTTGTAGATAACCCAGATCCATAATGTAATTCAATAATTTGTTGTAAATGTATCAAACTTATTCACCATTTAACTGAGATTGAGTTGATTTAATACAGTTATACTGAATCTGTCTTCTATGCTTTGTTAATTGTTCACATAGCATTTTATCAGCATGCAATTTTGTATATATATATGCATTTATGCAGGTTGGTTTGTGTGACTCTGCATTTATGACAGTGTCAAATGCAGGTTATTATGTCTGGATGACAGTTTCATAGAACCCAAAGTTGAGGCATGTGTGTACATCTTTTCCCACACACTATGGGATTTAATTCTAAAATATTTACTTAATGTACGTGTTCAACATTAGAAAGATTATGCTGCTTCACAACTGTACATACAAAATTTATACATTTCATACAAATTTTGTTTAAATAAAAATATTAGAGTTGTTAGAATGCTCCAGTCAGGGGTATTTTGGTCATTCTGGTTTATCTTCTTGAAAGAGAAAGGTCTATTGTATCTGAGTTAAAGTTATGTGTCCCATCTTCTATGAGGGACAAAATAGTCTTTCTTGTAACTCTAAGTTTTTTGAATAAATTCAAGTGGGTCGGTTAGGAGAGGTGTGATTTTACATTCTCTCTTCTAGTCTGGCCGAATACTCTTCTTCTCTCCTTCTTCTTTCTCTTTTCTTTCTTTCTTCTGCTCTACTTTGACCTAGAATCTACTAGGGTTTACTCACATGGTATCAGAGCGATAAGGTCTCGTGTTCTCTCTTCTTGCTGCTGTCCTCTTCCTGGGTTCGCCGCCAGCTTCACAGTAGTTTTCATCCTTCAGCTGACCTGATTGGAGATTCGATAAAGGGCTGAAAAAGGAGTTGCCGTTTTGAGGGCCTGGAGGTGAGAATGCCTCTGGCCGGTGCTGTGGTGGTCGTTGAAGTGGTACACTAGACTCTCTATTCAGTGTACGAAGAGGGCTGAACGTAGACAGGTATGAACACTGCTGTCGTGTGCTCAAATAATGGACTGTGAATGCTACTTTGTGCTTCAAAAGTTAGTTGTTGTGGAGCTTGGTGAGACTGATACGCATATCAGTCATGTTCTTTTTTTCTTGCTCATCATATGCGTGCTGAAAGAAGAGTCGTGGACTGCTGAAGTCCACGACAGCAGTGGCGTGGTGGCTGACATATCTATGATTCTAAATGCTTAAAAGTGAACTCCTAGACCTTGCATGTAATCAGTTCTGCAGTATGAAGAACAAGTGTTCGATGAAATGACTGAGTGATTTCAACCTTGGCGTGCTGATGGTAAATTGTCCTGCAGTGTGCAGTCAAGGTGTTTGATGTGTTGACTGAATGATTTCARCCTTAGTGTRTAGTGTGTAATGTGCAGTTGAAGAAGTTGGAGTTGGTGGTATCATAAGTGAGATAAGTCTTGTGAAGTGTGTGAGGTTGTGGTGTATATTTGAAGGTGAA